AAAAGTCTCTGAATATTCAAACCTTGCCCAGCCCTCACATCCACAAAATTATTAACTTTATTCTGGGGGAGAGAAATGAAAGTTTATATAAATTCATTTCACATTTTAAGAGGTCTGCAGTATTGCAAAGTTGTGATTGAAAGGTTATGTTGGGGGAGGGGGGCGATGACAACTTCCTCATTGGCTCAAGGGGGCGATTTGTTCAAAAAGGTTAAGAACCACTGCACTAAACTATCCCCAGCTCAAAACTATTCACTTCACCATGCACTGCTTCTGAATCAACAAAGTTGCAATTAGACTTTTTTTCCCCCCCCCAAGGAACTGCTGAAAAGCAGAAATCTGGTTTGGACATTCCCTGCTTGACCTGAAACTGCATTGCACTTCCCAAATTTGTCACTATCTCCTCCTAGTGCCCCTTTTGATAACAATTTTACCAAATTCAAACATGCTTAGCAAATTGATACCCTACAATATTTCCATTCACTCTTGCTAACCTCCCGTCAGGGAATAATAATGATATCTCTCCTATTATCAGACACAGATGCCATTTTCACACACACACACATTAAAAAAGTCATATAGTTACTCCATTACTATTGTTTCCCTAGAAGTAAACAATATGAACTGTATGCATATTTAACATTTCTTCAGTTACATCATCTATATTCATAGCCTTACCATTTTTCAACATTTTCATAGCATGCATGACTTCTTTTTCATTTTTAATTTGATAGTAACTTTTATAGCATTCATTTCACTCCATTCTTGACATTTCACTACCATTCCCATGTAAAACCTTTAAAGTACTAATTCTAGCATCTGTTGTTTTCAAAACATATGGCTGAACAAATCTTTTTTTCCCAAATATATACTCACCAAAAGTCAACATTCTCAATTATTTCTAGGCCTCTGACTATCCCAATTAGTTATACTTTCTTGTCTATCCATGGGTATCATCCTCAAAGACTCCAACTTTCTTTAGAATGTTGCACAATTTCTCCCTAAATCCATCTCTGTCTTTCCATTATAACAATGGAGCATAACATGTTACCATTACTATTTGTTTATTTCTTTTCTATAGTAGCTGTTCTCAACAAGTGACTCTACGTGGTGTACCTCGCAAAAAAAAAAACAAATTTAAAACAATACAAATACATATAAATATGGTCACTGAACAGAACTATTGCCATGGAGGTTAATAGTTCCTATCGTAGAACAGAGCCTATGGATTCATACACACACGCATGCACACACACACACACACACACACACACACACACACACACACACTAACATAGATAGCGCCAATTCATATGTTCTCAAAGATGTTGTAGCTGTAGAAGACAGACAGCATTGGAGGGCAGAGTTAAATGCATGACCAGTTCAGAGTCCTTGCATTGCCACAAGAGATCCAAATCCAGCCCCCTTGAATTTGTTGACCCTCATATAGGGCCAATTTAGTGCTGGCTATTAGTTGACCCAATTCTTATGTATAGGCATGAGCAATAAATATTTCTGAGCTACAACTCAACCTATGGTTCTGATCTTTCGAACCTGATAGTAGCCCTTTAATTCACAACTACAATCTTCCTTTCCCTTCATGTATTCATCAGTTTCAGCAGCCCGAGATCAGAAACCTTCATTCAAACTTTATTATAATCATTCCCTCACTTTCAGAAAGACCAAAATACTTTTTTTCCCTTTCCTTTCCTTTCCTTTCCTTAATTCAAGTTCTTTACCATATACTCCATGAGGGAGATAGCTGGTTAAAAAGTTTGATTGATAGATAGATAGATAGATAGATAGATAGATAGATAGATAGATAGATAGATAGATAGATAGATAGATAGATAGATAGATAGATAGATAGATAGATAGATAGATAGATAGATAGATAGATAGATAGATAGACAGACGATAGATAGATAGATAGATAGATAGATAGATAGATAGATAGATAGATAGACAGACAGACAGACGATAGATAGATAGATAGATAGATAGATAGATAGATAGATAGATAGATAGATAGATAGATAGATAGATAGATAGATAGATAAAGTTGGTTTACTTCTCTTACATTCCATTCATATTTCATATGGTAAAATCAGAATGGGCCCCTAGACTTTAACCTCCAGCCCAATTGATCTGTAATCAACTGAGGTTTTCATATAATGCATAATAAGACATAGCAAAAAGCACACAGACTTGTATACCACTTCATAAGGTTGTTAGATTAAGGCCCAGTTTCCTCCTCCTCTTCATCAAAAGTCAAAACCAGCAGGGCGATAAGAAGATAAAGGGTTGACTACATTAGCAGATTTAATCGCACCCGTGTTTTACTTCGTGGATAATGAGAGTAATAGGCATAAAAAGCAACCAAAACAGTAATAGTTTAGTAAAGGGGTAGTCAACCTTGGCTCTTTTATGACTCGTGGACTTCAACTCCCAGAATTCCTGAGCCAGCCATGCTGGCTCAGGAATTCTGGGAGTTGAAGTCCACGAGTCATAAAAGAGCCAAGATTGACTACCCCTGGTTTAGTATGTTTTGGGCCAATATGCCACAGACACAACCCTGAGACTAACTTGCAAATCAATATGTTAGGAAACATATGCAATGTGCTAATACACACACAGGATACATGGATGCTGATTATTATTTTTTTAACCTTTGTTCTCATCTGTATATAGAAAGAGATAGTTTTTCTCCATAAAAGTAGCATGTTTTCTCCCATGCCCCAGCATACAGGTAGTCCTCGACTTACAATGAAGTTACGACGGATACTCCAAAAGGTATTTATGACCCGGTGCCAAAGCTACAACGGCTGCCCTCCCTGCAGTCACGGGGCAGTCTTTGGGTGCTTGGCAACTGGCCCACATTTACGGCCATTTGCAGTATCCCGCAGTCACATTTTTGCTGGAAACTGACGTTTACTTCTGCTTTGCAACAAAAACCTGGCTCGTAGCAAACAGTGGGTTCGCTTTACAACTGCAGCACTCAATTAATGACCATTACAAAAAAAAGTCCTAAAATTGGATTGGTCATATGATGACCAACATTACAACAATCACAACGTACGGCCACAATTGCCAGGCTCAATTACGGTCGTAAGTCAAGGACTACCTGTACACACAGAGAAAGAGAAAATCAGGGGGAGAAGAACAATTAACCAATGGAACAACCTGCCTCCAGAAGAGGTGAATGCTCCAACACTGGAAGTTTCTAAGAAGAGTCTGGACAGCCATTTGTCCGAAATGGTATAGGGTTTCCTGCCTGAGCAGGGGGTTGGACTCGATGACCTCCAAGGTCCCTTCCAACTTTATTATTATTATTATTATTATTATTATTATTATTATTATTATTATTATTATAAGGCAAAACAGAGCAATGCAGCTCAGAGCAATTCAACAGCAATAATCACCGTGGCCTTGTACGGAAGAGGTTAAAGAGTAAAAGAGAGAATGTATACTTTACCATCTCCTGGAATTATGCGCAGAGTAACCATATTTCCTGCTTCTTTGATTAGGTTGACGATGTCCGAATGTGATTTGTTGGTGATGGAGCATCCATTAACGGCCAATATCCGGTCTCCGACTTTCAGCTTCCCGCACCGGTCTGCTGGGCTCCCCTCAATAATCCGACCTATTTTGTGAGGCATGGCCACACATGCATTGCCTGCTTTTGAATTGATTTTTTGTTTTGTTTTTGCGCGTGTGCATTTTTTTTTAAACAAATTGTTTAAATACGTTGGGAACATGGCGAGAGGGGGGAAAGGAGAAAAAGGGTTGAAAAGGGAAAGAGAAGGTTAAGGGTTAATTAATTAATGCATCAAGCAAACGTTATTAAAGGAGAGCTTTGCTGCCAGTGTTCAAAACATTGGCAATTGACTAGGGGAGTGCAAATATTAGAAATATGCTAATCAGCATTTCCTATGCTTCTAGTAGTGCTTTCCTTCTGTGCACAAGCATCTTGTTACATCGCATAGTATGTTTGAATGGGTTGCCCTCAGAATAAAATCTCGAAGGATTCTACTTGTAAATCTGAAACTGTTGACTGGCAGCCCAACCCTCTTGGATTTTTCCTTGAGCCCGACTTTCGTCTCATCTTTATCTTAGCCAATGTCGGTTAAAATCTCTGCCAATGTTTTGTTCTTTCTCCGTTTTGAAAGACAATCACTGTATCGCCTACCAAGGAATGAGTTTTCTCTTAATTCAAACTCAGAAGGATAGATTCTACAAAAATAACTTCAGCAAGGATAAAAGCAGCAGGGAATTAGGAGTTTCTACTACAATGAATAAAGGGACTAATTGAGGCTAGGAACAAAGCCACTAAAGATGGACCAAGGGGGAATACAGAACTTTCCAAAAATGCTTACTTTCAACATAATTTAATATAAACTGTCAACAAAATAAGTGGGAAATCTTAAAGATACCCCCAAATAGCTCAAGAATCTAAATACAGGTAGTTGTCAACCCCTATTTCCATAGCAAATAGTTTTAGATATGTGTGTTACGGATGGGAGATTAAACGATGATAGTAAAGAACAAGGAAAAATATGATTACAGTACCTTTTTCCTAATCAACTCTACCAAATGTTTCTAGTACCAAAAGCTTCAGCCAGTGTGGGTAATGATGAGGAACATGCCTTTACTAATTTCACATCAGTCTTTGGAGAGCAACAGGCTTGTTGACCTTGATCTATACCTGTAACTCTCACTATGGGGTTTGATCCACCCTAAATTTGTGTACATTTTGGAAGGTTCAGCAAAGCAAGATTGAACTCTTTCCTAGATATGAGACATCAAACTTTTATTATGTCACTTTATGTTTAATCTCACTATAACTCGTAGATAATGCCAGTCTATTTTTTTTCTTCAAGTCTCGATTACTTCATTATTAATTGAAGGGAGTGATATAGTACAATAGTTAAAGGCTTTATGTTTTAGGCTTTATGAAAATCTCCTATTTTCCATGATACTAGGTGTTTAAAGGAGCAACAAAGTGATGGAAAATGGACAACTAGATGTTGGGTAATATTGAGGCAATGTGCAACAAGAGGTGTGTTAAGAAAAAATAGTTTAGAAATGTATTCCTGGTATCATAAGACACAGTATAACTTTTAATTAAATGTTGGAGGCAATAACAGACATAAAGGAATTTCATCATATAATATATGTGGTAGTCACTTTCAATTGCTTATAACAAACCCTTTAAAAAATATTCTTGTACTATTTCTTGGATGTAAGTTGGGAATTGATAAGTTCATGTTTACTCTTGTACTCATGGACCTGTCACCCTTCTTCAACTCAATCTATATCACCAAGTTCTTGTGGGGAAAAAATGGAGGAGAGACTGTTTTGAATGTTGACTTGCATTCCTGGAGAAAAGGCAGGATGTAAACCTAATAAGAGACAAACTCACCTCTTAATGCAAGATTGATTGCTGCTAATAGCAAACATGGGCTCTGCCCCACTGCATATTGACAGCAATATATGATGATTAAATGATAAACACTAACTGGAATGACGGTGAAGAACAAAAAGAAGGAATTGTGTAATGATTTTCTACCCTACTGCTGTTTTAAATCAACATTTAGAAGTTATGAAAATCTTCTGTCTTTAATAAAAAGGAAATACTTTATGCACTAGTTTAATGGATTACATAATCTAACTTGCAATGGTGGTTAGGTTAGCTACACCAGGCCATTTCTCAGTTTAAGCTGTATCTATTTTTTTAATATGATGATTACTCAGTAACATAAATTAGTTATAATTATATCCATATATCTGTATCTTCATTTTTTTCTGCTTATAGAGTATAGAAAACCAGTAAGTATTTTTTTTTAATTTATCAAATAAGGAACTTTAATGGCTTGGCTTCATTCCAAATTATTTATTACTGTGCATTAATTTCTTCTTTATATTTTTATATCTTTTACAATCATTCTAAACCATTACTGCTACTACTTAATTGTACTCTTCTTTGGACATTTTATTTTCCTGGCGTTCTGATTTGGCTTCACATGTCTATCTCAATTTGCCAATTTTGTTTCCAAAAAAATGCAGCTCTGGAATTGCAATGTGAACTAACACCAAACATTATGTACCTTTACCTAAGTTTTGTCAATGTCTGCTGTCCACATCTTGGTGTGTTTCTTTAGAATTTTACACATAATTGTGTTTTGAAGCAGGTACTTCACTCACTTTGCATGGGGCTATAATGACTATGGGGACTTCATTTGTGTGCGAATGGAGATTTTATCAAGCCATCCAAATATATGCTTGTACTATATTTGTATTAGTAATTTTAGAAATATATCTATGTTATGATAACATGAAAAAAATCTCAATGAAGGACGAGTTAAACACTATCGGTCATATACTATCAGAAGTCCATTATAACTCGTGAAATAGATTATTTTCATAACAGATAGCAGTGATCATGGTTTATTCTTTATTCTTAAATATAACCACCATACAAGGAAAATATTTCTCGGTTAATTTCTGAAAAGTGTCAATTTAGTGAATGAACAAACCTAATCCATAGGACTATAGAAAAGACAGTTTTGACTTAGTTGGCCCACTTTTGTTGACCATCTATATAAAACTATAAAGCCTCCTACAGATACAGGGCAAGCACTGTATAGCCAAGGACAAGGATTTCATGCAGAACATGGGAGCAGAGGAGAAGGGAGGGATTAACTTGAAGTCAAGACATACATTTGCTTTCACATGGCTTTGTATGTCTAGCTTTTAAGAAATTTCAGAAATGAACATTAATCACGGGTGCTCCAACCAGTCTGGAGTAGGAAACATTTAATTACCCTTATTTAACAGACTGCTCTACCCCTTCAATAAGTCTTGCAGTAAAACTCTCTGAGCTTGGAATATATATTTTTACCATGTTAGAGTTGCCTTCTATACCTATGAGTTTGTATTAAATGGGTGGGATTTAAGTGGTTTTGGACTATATTTGCCTCATTATTTTATCTGTCATTATGATTTTTAATAGGCATTCACTATGTCTCCTTAGGCCTTTTTAAGATTGAATATCTCATGTGATTCCAAGTACATTTTTTAAAAAAACAAATGCAAACAAGAACCATATGAATTCCTCAAGAGAGGAAAAGACGTTTGGAAACTTCTCTCCTAACCAGTGGCATCACCACATTATGAATAGGGCCGACAGATGAAAATTGGAATATGACTATTTTGTTGTTGCTCAAGCCATAAATATATAAGCAGATCTTAGAGTCAAGAGGTGAAACCCCCTAATACATTTAGATTGATTTGGATATCAGCACTTCTACCTAGGTGCAGGGTTAAATCCAGATTAAAAAGCTCTAGAGATAAGAAGCTTCCATTGTATTTTTTTTTATTCTGCAAGAATGTCTTAGACTATCTAAGCCTCTCAGTTCCATCCCTGTGCCAAGAGAAATATAAATGGAATAGCAAGTCACCATTGATTTAGGCTTTAGTTAATTTAAAATGTATTAAATGCAATGGTGGGAGAATTGAAAGATGAGGGTGCAGGTGTTTCATCTGCAACTATCACCTGGAAGGTCAAGCCTTACCTGGAAGGTCAATGGGAATACACTCACAGGCAAAGAACCTACCTGAGAGGTTTACCTCTTGAATGGTGCCATGTTTAAAAAGTGTATCAAAAGGTAGGCTATGCCAACTACACAATCCACATTGCTAGCATACAGTGAATGTACATATGCTTCCTTTACAGTATCTTCTTAAAAATTCCTAATCTGTTTATCTCAAGAAAAGCCATATGCTATGGAGGGTTCTTACTTTAAGTGTGGGATTACACCCCCTGTTGCCTTTCCCCCCTCCTCCTGCTGCCATTATTTCTAGAATCCCAACTTCAAAATGTCTCTTTTAGAAAGAAAAACAAAGCCAACACAAAACAAAATTGTAATTCAGCTTTGAACAAGACCTGGGAGGCAAACATTTCCCAAAGCCTGGCTTTCCAATTAGGCACATTATTGAAATAGAAAGGGGCACATTCCTGAATTTTAATTACTGTTTTGTATTTGTAATTACCATTGTCATTGTACTCTGGCATAACAATTAAGGTTCTGTTATTAACCTAGGCTTGCTATCTTTTCCCTTGCTTTTGCTTTGGTCATCAATGAAGGCTTATTTAGTCAATAAACACTACAGATGTATTAAAGATATCCCTCCCAGCCAAAAGCATAACTGGAGCCTCTATGCCAGCGGTGTCAAACTGCCAGCCCGCAGGCCGAATGCATCATCTGGAAGCCGCACCCACCCCATTGCCGGCAACGGCAAAACCGGCCCGATATGTTGCGCGATGTCACATGACGTCGCTAGTTTGACATGTCTGCTCTATGCCCTTTTGAAGTTAAAATGTTGATAAGAGTCACATAAATCCCATAACAAAACCTAAATTTTAGAAGAATTTTCTGTACTTACCAAAAGTTGTTCCAGCTTCTGGACGACTAACTGAAGACACAATGACAAATCCAAAACCTTCATTCTCTCCACGCCGTATTTCAACATCATAGGGCTGGACCACGGTGCTGACCACACCACTGCCTCCGCCCCCACCACTACCAATTCCACTGGTGCTGCCACTGCCTGAACTGACAGTGTTGAGTGAGTTTTGACTCCCCTGTGGAGTGCGTTTCTCCTCAGTCAAAGAAGCTGGTTGGTTGCTGCTGTGATGAGAAGAAGCTGGAGAAGGAACCTCATTCTCTGCTTTGGGGACTGTTTGAGAAAGATGCAATCTTGGATTAACAGCTTTTCAGCAATGCCAAGTTTTTAGGAGCATTACAGAAAAAATATGAAGCTGATACATTAGGTTTCTGCTTTGTATCAACTGATTATAATGGCCAACAATTAAGAAAAATGACAAAATACCTTGAGGGACTCAAGAGGTGGGAGAAATCTGCTATTGCGACAACTTTTAGGGAGAGTCTTTTTCTACACATTTTTCTATATTCCAAAGTTCATTTGAGGCTTCTATTTTGTGTATCTCTATTCAGTAGTGGCACCCATCTGAGGGGACATTAACACTGGAGAAGAATACCCATGATATGTTTTTGCTCAATGGTACTCAAAAGATTAAGAGTACCGTTCAAATCAAAGAACTAGTGTGCCAAATAATTTTTTCTATTGTGGAATTTAGTATAGTTTGACAAAAAGTTGTATTACTAGTTGAAATACAAAAATCCGTTCTTTCTCTTTTATACCACATTTTATTACGTGTGTTCCATTTTGTTTTTTCATGTTTTGAGGAGTAATTCTAAGTAACAATCGCTAAGAAGATACTCTTAATTACAGGCTTTAGTTAAGGAAAGGCATTCTCAGCCCTTGCACTAAGCATGCTTCAGAAGCCATACTGAAGGCTGGAACACTTGAACATCTGGAGGTCATATGCTTGCATAGTTTGCCTTCTAACATAAGGTACCATCACATCTTCCTTAGGTCAATTTAGCCTCTAGGACAGTGTTTCTCAACCTTGACAATTTTAAGGCATGTGGACTTCAACTCCCAGAATTCCACAGCCAGCAATGCTGGCTGTGGAATTCTGGGAGTTGAAGTCCACATGCCTTAAAATTGTCAAGGTTGAGAAACACTGCTCTAGGACATACACACACACACACACACACACAGACAGAGTTCTATAAATAGAAGGGTATGACTATCACATTCATATCAGTGTAATTTTAGAAAAATCTGTGAACAGATAGTTGAATTTGGTCAAATCGAACAAGGCAACTTTTATAGGAGTATATTCAGACTGAATCCTGATCACTTTGGTAATTTTGCTGGGTTGCATTCAATACCTTCACAGATGCTTTCCTTCCAAATATTGTATTTTTACATAATGCTGTATGTTTATGTTTATGTGTATTTAAATTTGTATACCGCCCTATCTCCCTTACGGGACTCAGGGCGGTGAACAGGCGATAATAAAAATCACAATAAATATCTATTCTAAAATCAGATTAAATAAATAAAGGCCTGCTCTAAAATACCCCATATAAAAACCTGTACTAAAACTTAATTAAGACTACGCCAGGCCGGCCGCACGGAATAGATGGGTTTTCAGGGCTCGGCGAAAAAGGCACAGGTCCGCAGTTGTATGATGATGTTACCTAATTTGGATAATAAAAAGTCTGAAGAAAACAACCAAGTTCAGAGAGCACCAAGAACCCCTTATTGTATTTTTCCTCCAAGTACAATATACTATTCTTCCAAGTACTGTATAGAATAGAAATAAAACACCCACATAGTCACACTGAAGCCTACCTGTGTATACCACTTTGCGTCTGATAGTTAAATTGACATGGCCTTGCTTTGCAGCTTGTTGCATAAGCTGGACTACAAGCTGGTGTGACTTTCCAACCACCGGTGTTCCGTCCACGCAGATCAATTCATCTCCAGACCTCAAGCGACCATCAGCGTCTGCAGCACCCAATGGCACAATATGACCAATGTAAATCTGTGAAAAGGAAGTGAATGTGTATGAGAAGAGTTCTCACTTGCCCAAGAAATAAATCATGATTACCTATACCCCTGACACTTTTGAAGAGATTGCTCCAAATCAGAGAGCTGTTTTCCTAATGGGTTCATATCCAAATATCTAAAACAGAGGTCCCCAACCTTTTGGGGACCAGGGATCGGTTCCATGAAAAGAGGTTTTTCCGTGGCCCAGAGGGGGCATGGGTTTGCATGCTGCCTGCATTCCACAGATGGGGCTTTGCTTGTTCGTGCAGACTGGTTGCTGGCATGCTGTGGCCCGGTACTGGTCCATGAGCTGGGGACCCCTGATCTAAAGGATTGATCTGATAACCTAGATCTAACCTAGACCACATGTCTGTGAAACATATTCACAAAAAAGAATGTAGTTAATTCCATAGGAGGAAAAACACTATTTTCCTATTTCAAACAAGGAGAAGAATTCATTGTTTCTGATGCAGTTTCATTAAAAAAAAATCATTCTGGATTAGTATTTTATATTACAGAATTTTCCTTGATTGGGGAATTGAACTCAACATGGATACAGCGTTTCACCACAAACTCACTTTTACTTCTTGTAGATTTCTCTTAAATGAGACTGTGTATGCAGCTTAGAAGAAGTCTTACTTTAGTGTGATCTGAATCATCAACAGACTAGAATTGATTACAACTGCTTCAGGGCTAAGCCAGTTGCTGGTGGAAATTGGCCACTCTTATTTGAGCTGGACCAAACTATTCAGCTATTCAGAACCTGACTGATCACTTTGTTCTCTATTGTTTTTCTTTTTTTGCTAGCACAATCAAGTGCCATATCCAAGAGATAGTCAATGGCTATGCTAGCAACATAGATAAGATAAGCAAACCCACATTTTGCTGAAGGTGATCCTAGAAATTCAGAAGATATTAAAAAAACACCTAATTTTACAGATACTTACTGGTTCCCCAGGCTCATTTCCACCAAGAATCCTAAATCCAAAACCAGTTTCCTTCCTCCAGAGAAATATATCCTGTTCTTGATAATCTGGAACTGTAAGGAAGTAGAAGAAATTCATGATTTATAATTAGCCGAATGTGTGTTTTGTTGATCCCAGTATATGTTGAACTAGGGATTTCAAAACACAGATATACAGTGGCATTGCCCTGTGTTTATGGGCAAGGCAAGAAAGCAATTTGATTTGCAAGGAATGACATCCATTTTCTACAATGAAGGAGATGTAATTTACAAAATGCATCCTTTGTTATTTATACCATTTTAAAATGGCACAGCTTTTAAAGGCCTTCTGGAAGATCTTCCCATGGTCAAATTAAATTAAATATACCATAATGCCATTTGATCTTGAGAGGATGTAAATATGATACCCATCTTCAAAACATTGCAAAACAAGCCAATGACTTTGATACAGATTTAATCAGGCTTAGAGTATACCCAGTAGTTTCACTGGAACTATTGTAAATTTACAGTAAGTTGGTTTAAATCCAAGCTCGTATTTTTTAATTTACTTACGTCTTATATTTATAAACCTGTCACATGAATTTCAAAAGTTAATATCAGAAAGTAACGCGTTTGTCTATTTTGGAAAAAAGCACAAGTAGGACAAAGCAATCAAAGCATTTTCTCTCTGGAACAGTTGTTTATCTGGTTGCCAATTATTGCTTGAGAATTTTCAAAAAGAGGAATAGCATTCAGCATATATCACAAAATAAATGTGCCAGAGCTTCAGGGTATCTGGTCCTTACCAGCCAAATGGATTGCAAAACCAATATAATCCACTTCTTCTCATACTTGGCAAAGGAGATTTTTGAGGAATCCATTTTATGACATTGCCTTTCTGGTTCAATGTAAAACTACCCACTCAAGATTTGTATGTGTACGTATGTGCAATTGTAACCCATGTCATAATCAATGCACTATACGCATCTAAAACAAACTTCTTTCAAATCTAAAAGGTGTTAATGTAACCTCTGTCAGTGTTTAGGGATCTTTAAAACCGGATGGGATTTGAACAGAGGTACAACGTAAAATATATCTAATACCCAAACCACTAATTTATATGCTAAAGAAAATTGCATATATAAGGACAAAACACAGTACCAACTTGGAAAATATGACATTATCATGGATGAACAATTTCAGCAAACTCTTGAATCCATGAATTTAGATTCCCTGTTTTTGTAATAATTCAAAGCAATCTGCTATGGACAGTCTTTAATGTGGTCAGGGTATTTTATTTTTCTCTTTTCAGCTCTCAATAAGCCTAAAGCATGGTTTTTATTTCAGATGCCAACTGACTGCCAATTAAGTATTTGCTCTATGCCGCATTATCAGAATTTGTTGATGCTAGCATCAGTTATAAATCCCTGATCCTTTTTGGAAATAATGAGTAGATAGGGTTTTTTTTTGTCATTAAGCAAATGAGATCCTGTTAGAGAGTATAACTCCATTAGTAGTATAGTACTGTTGATTTTCTTTTCAAAAGAGAGATGAGAAATGGAAAACAAATCAGGAACTCTTTTCTGAAAGAATTTTTGTGATAATTAACATCTGCAAGCCTTTTTTTAAACTGCTAGCATCAATTCAGTTGACAGTACTATAAATGGCTGGAGCACAATCCTTGCAAAATATCTGTTAAATTGATTTAAGAATATATCTCTTCTATACATCCAGGTTTATATATGCAGCACTTCCCCAGGAGAGATCTCTGTTTATCCACTGATCGTACCCAGGTTCAGCATTGAAAGAAGATTAAGTGCACAAAGACTAATATGCATCAGCCCTCTTGTTAATGGTTGCAAGCTTCAATGTCATATTGCAAGCATAATCAAGGCAAAAGTCATTTTAGGAGAAGTGAACATTTCTAGGGTGCCCCAGCCCTAATAACACATTGTCTGCTTGTAGTGACTTTTCCCTTTCCAGCTGTTGTTCCAGTTTGGGAATTGTTTTCTTTCTTCAGCTTTTCCCTCTTCTCATCAGCTAAATAAAGTTGATACTATCATGATGCTTTGCTGAAATTTGGCTACAAAAATGATTCAAAATGAAGGGAATGGTTTTTGCTCATTTTGACCTGGCTAGCACTATTATTCTCGCTCCGGTTCTTTCCCCTATCCCCAGAAATGGCACAGTGTGGCATGTTTGTGCATTGCAGCAACCCAAAATATTGGCAGGGCTCAGTGACATGATGCAGCAGCAGCAGTAACAAAATGAATGCATTGAGTAAATGGATATTAGTATTCAGGATGAAGGTTTCTTTTTGTTGATAAACGTATCATGCTGGATCATTTACAACACAGTATACGAACTTATAGCAGATGGCAACCAGGAACAGTAAATTAAGCATAAACCTTATTTTGTCATTTGTGCAAGAAAGGATACTTCTTTTCCTGACTTCTCTTCCTGTACTTTGAGATGTACTGTGCTTCTGACCATTACAATGACTCAATTTCTGAAACTTTTCAGGAGATAATATTGTTTGCACTAATATGGTCAGAATATATAAAATACAGTATTTCATAGGGGAAATTAATCTTTTAAGACACTGACTGTATATGCTAAATATTGTAAAAGCCAGATAAAATCAAGTGTACTAACTTATCAGTCAAGTACCAATAATTACTTTTAAATGCATCAAAACACAAAGCTTCAAATGCAGTTAACAAATGATGTTTTAAAATTGAAATACTTGAGTGGAGGGAGCTAATCCTCACTATTTCTATGAATAGTGAGTTCCAAGGTATTTTGAATTTTTTTTTTCTTTGAAAACTTCCTTTGGCTTTTGAAAAGTCAATGCCAAAGAGTCATCCAGAAATGATCCAGAGCAAAAGAACAGTCACAGGTAAAACCAAGTGCCTATCTTTTGATGGAAGTGTTGAAAGGAAGCTAATGAAGCTAAAATGAATTCTGGATTCTGTTTGTTGAGTAATATTAAACCAAGCATTTTGCTAACAGTTTATGGAGAATGACTGAGAGTTTACGTATTAAATTAGTGCATGAACTAAATAGTTGGAATGTAAAAAAGCACATATACTGTACATTGGTTTTTTTTCTATTTTACATCTATTGATTTCTGTCTATATTTTCCATGTCCTATCATCTTCACCTTCCATTATTTAGTAAAGTGGCTCTAAAGCTACATGCATTAGTGCACTAAGCTCCAGCTCAACAATTTTCTAAGTATAATGACAGAATAGTGAGATGATAGGGTTGGTCAATACTTAGCTATCTGAAGGTTATTATTTTACAGCATCTCAATTTAAATGCAAGTCAAATGCATAAAAAAATGTGAACTTTGCTACTAACTCAAGCTGAAAGCCAACTGTATTCTAAACTAATTGGTCTTGGCTGCTGCCTCTAGTTCACAAAAGCTAAAGGTTTCTTCCAATTAGGTCTAGGTGAAACATGTTAAGAGCTAGCCTGATATATGCAAAATAGCTTCTGTAGAACATTTCCGCAGCACTTTCTCACCTATCTTAACCTGTGAACTTTATAATGCTTTCTGTTTTTCTATTTTCTCCAATGAAGATACGGACCCTTAAGTTCTGCCTATGTTACTTGCAGTTCTTGCATAGTTTACTTAGAAAAAAATAATGAGAATAATGCTGTGTTTTTTCCCTTACAATAGAGCTATTTTTAAATAGTAAAAGTAGCACGATAGCAAATAAACTAAGTTGTTTTAGTCTATCTACAGTGACTGTTCCTGGAAACTTGTTCCTGAAAATGTAACTTACTATAAGGAAGATGACACTTTCAAGGTTAAGAAGTTTGTTTGCTCTGGCATATTACGTATTTCAGGCTTAGTCACTTATTCCATTTATATTAATGATTCCTTCATTGATTCTTATGCACTCATAATTCCATGTAATTATTGTTACCTCACTGATGTTATGAATTTTAATTCTGATTATCTTTGGACAGAGCGTTAATAATGGTTTGGGTTTGAAACAATCCAATCCAATATAAAATCTAGTACGTATGATCGCTTACAATTCAGCAAACACTTCTCAAGAATTTCAATACATCCTTATTTTCATTATGGTTGACACAGTCTAACAGTGAATCTCCCTTTGACAGGAAAGGAGATAGTAATAAGATAATGGCATCATGAACTACAAACACATACGTGCACAACATAACCAAAAGTGAGTCAAAACTCATTTTACAGCCTTTTGCATCAATTGATCCAAGTACACATATAAAATCAGCATCTGACTGAGTGGTGAGTTAAACAAAATCTTATTCTAAGTCCCTACTGATGTAGTTTCCATATCTTTGAGAGGCCATTTAATTGGCTGTAGGTGGCAATGGAGTCACTGGCTGCTAAACTGGAAGTTGTCATCAAACACAAAATCTCAACATTATCTGATATTTCCCACGATGGAATGATAGAAACTGACCAAGTGGCATTGTTTAGAAACAAGCCACATGGACAAAAAAAAATGTGAAGGGAATTCCAAATTAACAATGGTATTGCCTGTTTTCCCCCCATTAATGTTTATTTTGTTTGTTTTATCAAATGGTAAAAACAATGTTTCAAGCCTGATAAGCACACTTAAATGCTGACCAGCATAATTATCATTTCAAATTAAAGGACATTTTAAAGCAGAGCTCCCCAACTTTTTGGGCACTAGGGACCGGTTCCGTAGAGAAAGGTTTTTCCAGACCGGAGAGTGTGTGGTTTTGTGTGCTGCCTGCATCCCACGGATGGAGCTTTGCTTGTTTGTGCGGACCGGTTGCTGGCATGCCGCGGCCCGGTACTGGTCCACGGATTGGGGGTTGGGGACCCCCGTTTTAAAGGACTCGAAATACTCCTTAGGGGAAAAAAACCCTCTACCAAGTATTTTACAATGACTAAACTTGATTCTGCCTTCAGTCTCCCATGATGTAAGGATCAGTTTTCACACCAGTAGTTTATCCATACTGACTTGTTGTTGCAGTCTCTCAGTGATTTCATGCAAAAGTTATAAAAAGAGTTCTTAACATGGGATGAGAAGGAATGATAACAGGTAGCTACAGGTAAACCTTTTTTAAACAGAACAGTCCTGATACTTCACTTCAGCTAGAATATATATTTTTTTCATTATGTTGGTTGACAGCGACACATTAAGGAAAGCATTAGTGACTCTTAGTACAGTTCATGCTTCATGCCAACATCTCCAACCAATCCAGCCACATGAACTCCCCCAAATCACAAACACTGCTACACGATGGACAGCAAGACAAGATATAAAATTCTCAACTCATTCTTACATTCTCCAAAACTCGTGGAATTGATTTCTCTTTCTCTTTCACCCTTGCTCAGTCCAGTCGTAGGCGAAGGTGACATAGCTGTGAATATTAATTTTGACATTTTGCAAAGCTTAATGAAATCCGTTTTTTGTTGGTTCAGTTTCAGTTCTGCTTTCATGCAACCCTCAAAAGTTGCCGCTCC